AGGAATTCTGGGAGCTGAAGTCCGCGAGTCATGAAGGGGCCATAGTTCCCCCATGCTGGCTGAGGAATTGTGGGAATTGAAGTCCACAAGCCATAAAAGGGCTAAGTTTGAAGACCCCGGTCTTAAGGAATCGTCCTGCAAGAGTTCTAGAATTTACTTTCCTTTTCATAAGAGAAAGTGGTGTGTTTTTTTTTCTTTTCTTTTTTTTTTAATTTTTTTGATGTTTTGTATTTTAATCTTCTTTGAATAAACTACCATTTTCATAAGAAAAAGAGAGAGAGAGAGAGAAAGTGGAAGTGCTCCGACCCGGGGATCTTTCAATCCGAATTCACTCCGGAATATCAAGGACCCGATCTTTTTGCAAGACCCCATCCACCCACCCCCAGGAGGCCAGTTTTCTTCCTACTTGGGAAGGAGAAAATCAGACCCAAAACCAACTTTCAAACTTTTTTGGCCTTCCCTTCGAATTTGCCCCTTTCCGGCGCCGTTTACACGAGGATCCGCCTCTTTCAGAAACCCAGACGTCATAGGATATTTAAAACAAAAAAAAACAAAAAACAAAAAAACAGAGGCTTCGGGAAAAGAGGTTGGACTCCCTTCCCAATTCCTGAGCCGGCCCACATTCCGAAGTGCACGTGATGCCTGCTTGCTCCTGATTGCCTCCAGCAACAAAGGGCAGTCACTCCGGAGTATAAAAGGAGCCCAGCGGGGAAGCGGGGGCGTGTCTGCGCCATTGGGGAAAGCGAATTTGTTACTTCGGTCGGGTAAGTTAAACCGCGGCGTCTTTCTCTCTTTTTTTCTCGTTCTCTTTCTCTGTTTCTCCCTCTTGCTCTCTCTTTTACTCTTTCTTTCTTCCTTCCTCTTTCTCCTTCTTCCTCTCTTCGTTTTTTCCTTCTCTTTCCCATTCTCCCTCCTCCTTCTCTCCTCCTTTCTCCCTTTCTTTTTTTCCCTTTCTCCTTCTTCCTTTTTTATCTTTTTCTCTTTCTCCCTCTCCCTAGCTCTCTCCTCCTCTCCATTCTCCCTCTCGTACTTTCTCCCTTTCTCCCCAACTTTCTCTCCCCCCCAATTTTTCTCTGCCCCAACTCTCTTCTCACTAACTCTTCTTTGCAACTTTCTCTCTCTTCTCCCCAACTTTCTCTCTTCTCCCCACTTTCTCTTTGCCCCCCAACTCTCTTCCTCTCCTCCCCAACTCTCTCTCCTTTACAACTTTCTCTTCTCCCCACTTTCTCTCTGCCCTCCAACTTTCTCTCTTCTCCCCAACTCTCTCTCCTTCACAACTTTCTCTTCTCCCCAGCTTTCTCTC